TATTTATTTTTATGCGGTGCTTAGGATCGAACCAAGAGCCCGCACATGCTAGGTGAGTCCTCTACCGCTGAGCCACAACCCTAGCCCCCAAAAAAGTATATTTTAACATTTATTTAACTTAATGCATTTCCATGGTTAAACTGATTACTTTATGTAAATTATTTCATCCCCAGTACCCTGGGGAAATAGCATCCATTTTGCAGTTGGATGCATTGAGGTGTCTAGATCATACACATAGTACAAAACAGGATTGGACTCAAACCGTGTTTCTAATACCTGCCATCTCTGTGCTATGAAACCACATTCTTGCCATATATGTATATAAAGATACTGAAAATGTTAAAACAGATACTGCCAGTTGATGAGATTATGATAGTTGTCACTTGGTTCTACTTTCAAATATTTTAACTCTTTGATTTTTTTACCTTCATCTTTCTAAATAGTATATTTATGCTTTTTGTGATTCAGCAATTTTTACACGTTGTGTTGAATTCCTCTTTTGGTGAATAGGAATTTACTTCTATCCTCTCTCTCTTTGCATCCTCACATTAGTTATATCATAATTTTGATGAATACTTAAATAACATGCACTGCTGAGCAGGTGGTTTTTATGTGTTCCCCCCCCCCCCCCCCCCCGTTATTGGTGATGCTGGATATCTAATCCAGAGCTTTACACTTGCTTGCCAAGCCTTCTACCACACAGCTATACCTGCAGCTCCTATTTTCTTGGATAACTTTCTTATTTTTCTGTAATGATTTGTTACGTAGTCCTTTTTCCATTTGCTTTCACACTCTAAATTTTCTAAAAGTCAATCTATTTTCTCCTCAAGATCCTTCACCTTGGAGCCTTTGTCCTTGTGTGGTTATTTGGGCTGATTACCCTCTAGCAGCTCTAAACCCTCCCCTACACACACACACCCTCAAGAGATTCCCTTCTTGCTCCCCAGAACTCACATTTCTTTTTCCCTATCACACATCTTCTTTGGGTTAGAATTTACAGGAAGAATATATTATCTAATATGGGTTAAAATTTGCATGTCTGACAATTTATTTTAACCTCATATTTTACTGATAGTTAGACTGGTTATCTCTTCAAGGTAGGAAACTAATTTCTAGCTTCCAGTGTTGTTGAGAAACCAAATACCATTTTATTTGTAGTCCTTTGATTATAACTCTTTCCTTCTCAGGAAGTCTTCAGCACAGGTTCAGTGTTCCCTAGGATGAGAATTATTTCCCATTTCAGATTTTGAAATATTTGCATGTACATAATGAAATATCTTTGGGATGGGGTTTAAGTCTAAACATATAAACTTTATACATATAAGGTAATTTTACACAGTATTTTTATGGGCCTGTATTTTGACTGTGATGTAATCACATGAAGTCAGGTGTGGAATTTTCTACTTGTGGCATCATATTTATGCTCAAAAAGTTTCTGATTTTGGAGCATTTCAGATTTTCATATTAGGGCTACTCAGTCTGTGTACTTAGATGCTCAGTAGGCTCTTTCGTTATGGAAGCTCATGTCCTTTAGGTATGAGTTTTTTTKGGGGGGGCTATCTTCCAGATCTTAATTGGCTTAATACAATCTAGAATTGTGCAGCAACCATAGTGATTCAGTATGTTCACTAGGAAAATTTCCAGTATTGTTTCTTTGGTAATTTTACCTCTCCATTTTATTATTGTTTTCTCTGAAATACCTATATTGATCCTCTAATTTTTTCCCTGCCTATTTAACCATTATTTTTTCTATTTCTTCAACTTATCCTCCAAATTTTTCTCAGCAATCATTTTTAATTTCCAATTGTCCTCACCTCCTTCTTATGTCTTATTCATAGTTGTAATAACTTCTGTTAACTTGGAAGAAACCAGTATTTATTTATTTGTTTGTTTGTTTGTTTATTTATTTTTGTGGTGCTGTGGATGGAACACGGGCCTCCCTCCTGCAAAGTGCCACTTTACCACCGAGGCTCAGAAATCTGTTTTTATTGTCTAATCCTTCCACAGTTTAGTGTTTTTTCAAACTTTATGTTTTGGTCTGTCATTTATGTTAGAAGTTTTCCTAAATCATTTATGTTAGAAGTTTTCCTAAAACCTGATCATCTGTGAGTAGAGCACAACTATGCTTCCTGGATTGTGTATGTGTGTGTGTGTAGGCGGGGCTGTGTAGAGGTGAGCTTCAGGGCATGCTTGTGTGGCCTTCTGGCTTTTTATTAGTGGTTTCCCAGCTCTCAGCATCTATGTCTTTTCTCTTTGACCACTTTGTTTCCTAGCAAAGTATGTTCTCCTGGGCTGGGATTGTAGCTCAGTAGTAGAGTGCTTCCCAGCACAGGTGAGGCCCTGGGTTCAATCCTTAGCACCGCATAAAATAAATAACTAAAGGCTAGATTCTTTAAAAATAGAAAAGAAAAGAAAAAAGTATGTTCTCTTGTTCTAGTAGGGAAGTGTAAGCTTGCTCACCAGAGTTCTGGGAGTTACGTGGATGAAGGGACTAAAAACACTTTTTATTTAGTCCTTCTATTTTTAGTCCCCAGCTTCCCCTCTGTACTTTCCTATGTCTGGTATCCAAAGTCCTGAACCTCTGGTTTAGTTTGTCAAATAATAAATGTCTCTAAGTATGGGAGTAAAAACCTAAGAAATCTAACAGTTCTTAGACAAATTTTCAACAAACCTTTCAATTTTCCTTCCTTTTCTTTGCCCACACTTTCTGTAGCACTTCGTGCCTAAAGGTCCTGAACTTTGCCTGCTCTGTTGGCTTCCTTTTTATCCATGTCACCTCTACACCCAGCTCTCTGCCACTGAGTCAGTTATTGCTCCTCTATTTTCTCAGGTTATAGATTATCTGATAGTTTGTTGGAGATGAGGTTTGTGGACTTTTTTCCCTTGGCAACCAGAGCCTCGCACTTGCTAAGTGAGCGTTCTACCACCGAGCTACACCTCTAGCCCTAGGTTTGTGATTTTACTTTTTATTTTCTCTTATTGTTTTGGGCTGACTTCTGAGGAAAGAATAATTCACTCAGCCATTTTCAAACTTTACAATTATTTTTTGTATAATTGGGGAAAAAACTATTTTCATTTTGAGGGGAAATCCAATTTCCTACTCGTTAGGAAATTTTTAAGGAAGCATTAAAATCAAGATTTTATAAGGAGACTTTGGTGAATTTTGAAGACAATGAAGAATTAAGAAAGAAATACTGAAGCAGGACCCTGGTAAAGGTAGGAATATTATCAAGAATAGAAGATATAAAAAAAAGAATTGTCATAATTAAGAGGCAGCAAGGAGGCAAGATTAAGAAATTCACCCAGTCCAGTAAAGTTGGTCATACAGCTAATAAACTGCTATTCTGATACAAACCTTAGTGAATTTTCATATTCTATAGCTAGCTTTGTTGCTTCTGCTTATTGTTTGTCCAGTGGAATTTAGTCAATAAATAAGCAAAGTTATTGTTGAATATAATTTTGGCTCTGCTAAGTGATGGTATATCTTTGAAAATTAGATTAGAAACATTTTTCCCTAAGGATTTTAAATTATTATATATCAGTGGGCTCATTATATAAAAATAATAAGTCTAATCACCAAAAGAGGAATACTCTATTTGGAAAGTCTGTATCATTTATTCACACTTTTAAGCACTTATAAATTATTTTGTTTGCCAGTATGTTCAATCATATAATATGATTGTTTCAAAACCTACTTTAAAAGTGGATTCAAGGGCTGGGGATGTAGCTCAGTTGGTAGAATGCTTGCCTCCCATGCACAGGGCCCTGGGTTTAATCCCTAGTGCCATTAAAAAAAAAAAAGCATTCAAGTGCCTGAGAGTTACTTGACTTGGAATTTTTAATGTTCTTGCATTGTCAGAAACTTAATCATAATCAGAATGTTGCATAACTGTTTTTCCCAGTCTCAAAATTCATCTGCAATATATTTGGGATTATAGAACTTCTTCCCTTAGTTTCTGACTTAAAATCTTATTTCACTGAAAAATACTTTAATTCTACTTATGACCAATCATTGCCGTGAGTCTTTGTGAAACTCAGTATTTTACAATGTAAATTCTATCCTGTCTACCCAACTTTATAGGAGAGGTAATATCCTATAGAAATCTACTTGTTTTCAAGAAATGTTCAAGAGGGCTGGAGATGTGGCTCAAGCGGTAGCGGGCTTGCCTGGCATGCATGCGGCCCAGGTTCCATCCTCAGCACCACATACAAACAAAGATGTTGTGTCCGCCAAAAACTAAGAAATAAATATTAAAAATAAAATTCTCTCTCTCTCCCTCTCTCTCACCTCTCTCTTAAAAAGAAATGTTCAAGAGTAAAAGTCTAATTCCATATTTCTAGAAAGCTGCATAAATTAGTAGTAAAGTTGACATGTGTTGACAAAACTATATTCCTACTGCTTGGTGGTAATTATTTATTTAATACTTTCTTAACTTTGCAGCTTAAAATTGTTCATATTTTAATCAATAGGAACAGAAACAAGAAGAAGGAAGTAAAGGAACAGTATAGGGTAGACAGCATATAAGACTTGTAATTCTTACAATTCACTGATGTAGGGATGGGGATGTGGCTCAGTGGTAGAGTGTCTGCCTAGCATGCATGAGACCCTGGGTTCGATCCCCAGCACCACAAAAACAAACAAACAAAAAATTCACTGATCTGTTGTGAAATTTTAAAATAAAATGAAAAGAAAGAGGCAGGAAATACACTTCAAGACTAGAAATTATTCAGATTTAAGCCTGTGTTATAGCTGAGAGAGCAGACATGGCTTTTTCTGATACACATTGGAAATGAGCTATGGAACAGAACCTTAGACTCTTGACTGTGGAACTCCAAGATTACATTTAGTGGGAACAAAACACTTGGGACTGCTTTCAACATAGCCAGTACTCATCTTTTTCGTGTACTAATTATGTTTCCATCTGTGTCTAATTGGGGCTTTATATTATAAATAAAAGGTGGATAAAACATCGCTAATGACTTTTTTTCCCCTCTTTTAGATACATCCGGAAAGTGCTCAGAAGAAACATCCTGTCAGAAAAACTGAAAAAGCAGTATTTATAACACTGGAATCTGTGGATAAATTTGTTAAAATGGCAGAAAGTAGTGAAAATAATAGTAAAAATATAGATGTAAGACCCAAAACTAGTCGAAGTAGAAGCGCTGACAGAAAGGATGGTTATGTGTGGAGTGGAAAGAAGTTGTCTTGGTCCAAAAAGAGTGAGAGTTGTTCAGATGCTGAAACAGTGGATACTATAGAGAAAACTGAAGTTCCTTTAAGGAGCCAAGAAAGAAATCACAGCTGTTCATCCATTGAGTTGGACTTAGATCATTCCTGTGGTCATAGATTTTTAGGCCGATCTCTTAAACAAAAATTGCAAGATGCTGTGGGGCAGTGTTTTCCAATAAAGAATTGTAGTAGTCGGCACTCTTCCGGGCTTCCATCTAAAAGAAAAATTCATATCAGTGAACTAATGTTAGATAAGTGTCCTTTTCCACCTCGATCAGATTTAGCCTTCAGATGGCATTTTATTAAACGACACACTGCTCCTATAAGTCCCAAATCAGATGAATGGGTAAGCACAGACTTGTCTCAGAGTGAATTGAGGGATGGTCAGCTAAAACGAAGAAACTTGGAAGATGTAAACTGTTTCTCTCATACCAATGTTCAACCTTGTGTCGTAACTACCAACAATGCTTCATGTAGAGGTGGTCCCATGACTGGCTCTATGATGAATCTAGGTCCAAATAACAGTATAGAAGATAGTGATATGGATTCAGATGATGAAATTATAACACTTTGCACAAGTTCCAGAAAAAGAAACAAACCCAAATGGGAAATGGATGATGATATCCTACAGTTGGAAACACCTCCTAAGTACCACACCCAGATTGATTATGTTCACTGTCTTGTACCAGACCTCCTTCAGATCAATAACAATCCATGTTACTGGGGAGTTATGGATAAATATGCAGCTGAAGCTCTACTAGAAGGAAAACCAGAAGGTACCTTTTTACTTCGAGACTCAGCACAGGAAGACTATTTATTCTCTGTTAGTTTTAGACGCTATAGTCGTTCTCTCCATGCTAGAATTGAACAATGGAATCACAACTTTAGCTTTGATGCACATGATCCTTGTGTCTTCCATTCTCCTGATATTACTGGGCTCCTGGAACATTATAAGGACCCAAGCGCCTGTATGTTCTTTGAACCACTTTTATCCACTCCTTTAATTCGGACTTTCCCCTTTTCCCTGCAGCATATTTGCAGAACAGTTATTTGTAATTGTACAACTTATGATGGTATTGATGCCCTTCCAATTCCTACTTCTATGAAATTATATTTGAAGGAGTATCATTATAAATCAAAAGTTAGAGTACTCAGGATTGATGCGCCAGAACAACAATGCTAGGAAAAGGGTAGTAACATGGGAATAATTGCATATGTATTTTCATTTAACATTTTTTTTTGTTATTCCTCTTTGAATTTTTCTACAAAGGCAGTTGGAATCAAAAATAAGCCTCTGCTGGATCTGTTTATTTTCTATGCTACACTAATTGTTGGATGTTAACATATATTTTTAACCATGTATGTTCAGTTTGGGTTTTTATTGTGTAAATTGTATACTTAAAATTTTCTTTCCTTAACTTATAGATGGTCCAGGCATATTTGAAATTTGGTAGGCATTACAAATACATTTGGATATTCTGTATTTTTCTTTAATAATAAATTTATGTTCTTTTCTACATGTATAATATTTTTAACCTATGCTATCAGTGTTCCTATACATAAAATAGTTTCCTCATCCCCTTTTTGTTGAACTTTAAAATTCTTCAGTAAAGATGAGTGCTACGATTCATCCATACTAGTGTAATTGACTTTTATAATTTACTGTAGGAATGTTACAGGTAACAAAATGGCTTAAAGTCAAACTTTCTGTGTTTTTAATTTAAATATTAACTGTAAAACAGGATTAATCCAAATCAATGAGCATCAAATGAAAACATGACATTCTGGAGGTGCATTTATTCTACAATATGGCATGGTCATTTGCTATTCCTAAATAGGTGGTCTTCTCCACCTGGAAGAGTTAAATCATCCTCATGTGTACATGCGTGCACACATATGCAAACCTTGGCCCTTACCCGTGATAGTCATGTGCTATACCACTGAACTAAAACCCCCACCTGAGTTAAACCATCTTTAAAACATAAACTTTATTTCTCAATGAAAACTTTAAAAATAATAACAATATTAATACTTAGTAATTAAAGCAACTAGGGTTTTTCTGTATTCATTTATGAACTGTTGATTCTACTTAGCTATTTTTTAGAAGCTCTGAGCCTGTTACTTTCAGGAATTTCCATAGATTATAAACAACCACAGATTTCTACTGGTTAACCAAAGAGGACCTAAGTAGTTTTTCATTATTTTCAGTTGACTTGAATAAAGATTCAAGAAGTATACATGGAGATCAATATTCAGGAAGCTTTGTGTTACTTTTTGATCTTCAAGTTCCAAATAATTTTTATTATCTTCAGATGTGACTTCAAAAAAGGAAAGCTATCTGGCATACATTATACTGAACAGAACAAAAAAAAGATCATGTTTCAAATTTACTATCCCAAGAAGAGGGCAGCATTTTTAGAAACATTAGCCCAGTGTAACTAATAAAATGAAATGATATCCTATTCTTTTTTAGAAGAGTGACTAATAAGTCTAGAAAGATTCCACAGTTTTCCTTTTGGTGAACTGTCTGCCCCTTTGTACAAATTGGCATTTTTTAATATAGCCATTGATACCTTGATGCTAGTTTAGCTGTATTAGGAAACTTCTATTTGGATTGAATTTTATTTTGACCTACAAAATTTCCAAGGTAGAGCAAATGTTTTATTTATTGTTGCTTTTATGTTGAAATACCATTTCCTATCTTGCAGTTCTGCTATTAACATAAAAATAGCATTTTTCAATAATAGCTTTAAAGTAAACTTTTAGCAATTACAAAATTAAACCAGGAAAATCTGTTGCCATTATCTCCTAGCATTTTCTTCTCAGTGGTCTCAAGATTGTCTTGATCTCCACAAAAGGTAGCTACTCAAGTGGCACCTCTTCTAGAAGTGATGAGACTCAGGATTATCATAACATCAGTATCAGGATAAATATCACTTCTAAAGATGATATTTACCTTTTACAAAGGTAGAAAAGTCTCATACTACCTCATCTTTATTGTGGCACTTTTATAGATCACTGAGAAGCTTATCTTATTAATATAACACTTCCTAAATAACCATCTTTGGTGAAAGAAAAGAGCGTGGTAAGACTACCCATAATTATAGTTTTTTATCAGAATTTGATAAGACTTTCTGTTTCTGTGAAACAATTATTTTAAATATTTTTCTTTTAAAAATAACTTTTTATCAGTACTGAAAACCTAAGGAATGTCTAGCCTATGAATATTCTGTTAAAGGGTAGTTTTATAAAGAAAAATGAAGTATAATTATGTTATCTTTTATAGTGGTAAAAATTAGTGTTTCTATGAAAGTCAAGATCTAAATAACTTTTCATATAATTCAAACTGATTACTTGTGGTATATTTTCTCTGGGCTTTTTAAATTTTTTTCAATTCAAGTTATTAACAGCTCTTAACATTTTCAAAGTACTGCCATATGTGCATCCTTGAAGTATCTACTACATGAGAACAGCCAGGCAATTCATTTACTCTGAAATGATTTGTATTTTCCCTTTGGTATTTGCTACAATGAAAAGAAATTTGGAAAGTAGACATACATAAAGACTTGAGGAGGGAATTATTTATCATGAATGGAAAAGAGTAAAAACTTAATTTTTAAAAAAATTAAGGGATTAGAATATTAAAAGATTATCCCCTTTATGTTTTTGTGAGAGTACACATGGAAGAACATCAGTATTATATAAGTCATCATAAATGTATTTATTGGACTGTAACTAAAATGAGTAAATTTTGAACTAGGCCTGGTGGCTGCTGTAAGTTTAGCTATTTGGGTGGCTGAGAGGAGGTTTGCAAGGTCAAGACCAACCTGGCAACTTAGCAAGATGGTCTCAAAATAAAATAAGGACTGGAGATGTAGCTCAGAAGTAGAGTTCTTGCCTCATGTGAGCAAGGCCCTAGCACTGCAGAAACAAAACAAAATAATAAAATGAGTAAATTTTGAGAATAAAAATGTGAAAAGATACAAAATTTCTATTTAGAATCATTTATAGCACTAGACTAAACATTTGAAAAGTAGAAATCCAGAGTTGAGAAAGAATTCAACATGGTGGAAGTATGTAGAGCTTACTGGTGAAAGAGAATGGAGCTAAAAGAAAATAAGATTAAGAATTTAGGCATTACCTCAGGGAAAAGACTTGACAGTGAAAGGGAACTACTTAATAGCTAATAGCTTGTCTGGACCAGGCACTTAGCTGTGCTTTGGGAATTATCTTGTGCTAATCAGGAAATAAATTTCACTTTTCTATTTTTCTCTCAAGCTTTTCAGGATATATATCCTCTCCTCGAACACGTTCCCCCCCACTACCTTTTTAATCTATAGCATCTTAATTCATGCTGTAATTCTTGGAATATGCTGAATGGGGTTTTCTTTTTTTTTAGGTTCCTTTAGCATTTTGTATGAAAAGTCATATGTAATCTTTCTATAACCATGCATTCACCTAAATAATTCATAGAGGGAATGGTTTAATTTAAAGGAAGAACTAATAGGAAGATTAAAGGAAGCTTTTAGTCAGCCTGAGGCTAGATTTATTGATTTGGTGATCAAACCTGTGTTCTTTCCTGAATTTCAGCTAATGGCCAACTGTGGTCAAAAAAACAGCTTTCAGTTAAAGTTTTGACTTCTAATATAAAGAATGCTTTAGTAATTAAAAATCCTTTTAAAAAAAGAACAACAAATGTGGCAATAGGACTCATATAAATTATACTTCTTTTGATAAGAAAAAACAAAATTTTATCATTTATTCATGAGCCAAAGCCATTAAGATAAATCAAGTTATCAACTTCCTGTGTCTGAAGTTTGGATCATTTTATAGATCCATGTCTTAGAGCACTTATTTCCTATGAAACAAAAACCTTGAGATCTAACTCTTGTTTTCATTAAAAATATTTCTCATCACATTTAGCTATATTCAGAATCCAATAGACATGTCATATTTTATATTTTGACTTTTGTAGAGCAAATTTTACAGGAAAGTAGACTTAGTTATAATACATTCCTGCAGACAACAAAGTAATGTAAAATAGCCTACTATATAATGTTAAGTAATTTAGTTTATTTTAGAAATGTTAAGTAATGCCCACATAAGTAAAAGATTTTTTAGTCAAGGAATCTTGTTTCCACTTTGGGAAAAAAATATTTTAACCATTTTTGTTTTAACATAATCAGTTTTACATTCACTTGTATTTCTAAAGAAAGAACAAAGCACAAAATTTTTCTTTATTGATGACCTACTAAAAACAAGCAGCACTATAAATCTTTACTAAGACATTGAACACAAAAAAATTGAGGTAACTTTTAAAAATATATTGGCTTGTAAGCAACATATAGACTGCTTATAATACAATGGAAAGAGGGTTAGCTCATAAATCCTATCTCAAAGCTATTCTTTTGCTTTGTAATTTTGAATAGCTTACTCAATCTTAACATCTTCCTTTGCCTTCATTTTCTATAAAGTGTAGGTAATAATACTTTTCACTTCACTTCCTGAAGGTTAATCCTTTGGTAAGAAGTGACCCATGGAGCATACTTGAAAATAATTGCTGTACACCCATAAAGTAATAATGTGATAGTAGGTTTTCAAAATATTTCTTTAGTAGACCCTGCAGAGTCACATTCACTTTTTGTAGTCTGTAATAGGCTTTCTTGGCTTGATGCAACAATAGAAAACAGTACAATTTGAATTTATGGTTTAGACTGCAATTAAATGAACAATTGCAATTTCCTCTTGCCCTTCATAAGGTCAAATTGATGTTTGTCTTTTTAAGTTGATTACATTTGCAATAAAAATGATAATCACTTTGCCATGGTTATGATCAAATCTAAGCTTTCAGCCTTGAGAGCCATGGTGTAAAACTTAAGGAAATTACTCAAATTATGCTGATTTTGCTAGAATTGAATAAAATCTGTATTAGCCAAATACAAAATATATACTTGAATATACAGAGTTTTAAATAGTAATTTCACAAAACTACTCTTGTCAATCAGGCTTGTATGATCCACACCATATCCCCCAAAGTAGTCTATTTCCACTTTTATTTCTAATTTTGATGTTGATTGATTGTTCTTGGATGTGAGTTTAAACAATTTGATCCGAATAATTGTTCACTTAATTAAATCTTCACATGTGAAACCCAAAGACTTTGTGTTTTGTTTTTAAAATGTCCTTACCTCACACATTCAACTCGGAATTTGAAAAGGAACACTTTTGAAAAGTCCGCATCCTTACACACCATCCGTTTGTATACACTTTTAGTTTTTATCAGTTTGGGGGCTTCCAGAATCAGAGGCCAGGATGCAATTATACCTTGTGGTGAAACTAAGATTAAAAGGGAACATAAGGTAGGAAAGTCTTCCTATCACATTGCAGATCTGACAACTGTAAAGAATTGAAAGAACTGGACAGATCAGTTGAAAAAGTGTTAGATGGGGAGTTTGTAACTAAGCAAATGTTTCCTGTAGACATGTAATTCCTATAGAACCTCCAACGTGCTCCGTTACTGGTCCTTGGCAGGCAAGGAAAAGCTTTCGATACCCAAGGTCAGGACTAAGGTGAGGTGAGGGAGGCACACTAATTGGGTATAACTTTTTTTAATCAAAAGAAGGTAACATTATGATGCAAATATTTTAGATTTGATTCAAAAAATGAGAGCAAGATCAAAATTTGCATTTAAGACCAGACCATATTATTTTCTGTTACGCCAGGCTTTAATGACTCCATAAGTCACTGCTGATTCGCTGTCTCTTTTGAGGACAGGATAGGTCCTCCGTACTGGTAGGAGTACTGTAATTTTCCGAAACTGTGCCTTCATCCCAACTAGGACTACCCCAAGTCTTACGCATCCAAATTTCCTGTTACTCCTTTTCCGTTAAAAACTGGAGAGTAGGTCCACTTGGTGTCTTTAAAGAGGTTTTTAGTCACCCACTAACCCACTAATGGCTTACACACACGTAACTACATACATTTTTATATAAAAATAATGTATGTTCCGGTATTTGTTTTTATACCCACATCACTCTTATAACATCATTACTACCCAGCAGATTCCTTGGCTGGGTCCATATGTCCACCTCCTGGGCCCCACTGTATGGTACCTAATGTTTATTCAAAAATGAACATGTGAGGAGAGGCGTGAATTGGGAGAAGTCTGCAGACAACCTTTAGCAAATACTGGTCAAACCATTTACACACATTTGTTTCCTACAATGACCCTTTAGTCAGCTCTCTTCAATTCTGTCCGGAGGGTCCCGGCCTTCGGTCCAGCCAGACCGCGTCCCACACCCAAAATGCTTGGAGTCGAGAGTGGGGATCCAGAATCTGCCCTCAAGTCAAAGTCAACAAGTGGCAATTTCCATGAGGCTACCTTGAACATCGCCGACTACAGGCGATGCTCTGAGTCCTTGGGAGGTTGGAAAATTCGGAAGCTTTCCCGCGGCCCTCAAAGAGAAAACGGCAGCCCGCGGCCGGCGCCCAGGTGCAGTCCCGCCGGCGCCCAGCAGGGGGCGAACGCGGCCCGGTCAAGGGGCGGGGGCGGTGCGCTCGGCGCTTCCTGTTCCGGCGCCAGGAGGAGCCGCGCGTTGCTGCCGCTGCTGCCTCTGCTGTTGCTGCTGGTGCTGCCTCCGCTGCCGTCAGTCAGGCTCCGCCTGGTTCTTCCTCGCCCATTTCCCTCTAAACCATCGCCGCTGCTACATCCTGCTGCGGGCTCGGATATTGCCAGGTGAGGCTGCTTCGGCGCTCGTGAGGGTTGCGGAGGGGGCTGGGAGCTGCGATTGCGCGGCTGGCGGGCGCGGCAACCGGGAGACGGGCGCGATAACCGAGGTGCCTTGAGTCATCTCCACTGCTTGGGCCGTGAGCATCCTGGGGAGACGGAGCCAAGCGTTCTGTTCCCCTCCCCTCGCGCCACGGCCCCCTCCCCCCGCCGCCCCCAGGGAGAAGGCGTCGGGGAACGCTGACGTCGCGCTCCGTGGGCTTCTCGGCGCTTGACGTCAGGCCTGGCTGGGGGCGGGGCGGAGCGGGAGCTGGCCGACCCGACCCCCTCCCCCCCTTCCCGGGCGGCGCGACCCGCTCCGTGGCCGGTTCGCTCCGGTTGATCCCGGACTCCCTTTGTTCGCTTGGCTCTTCAGGGCTTCCGGCCCTGTGCCCCTTTGCCATGACCCCCACCACCCCATTCATTAATTTCTGATGAAAAGGGAGAGAAAGGCCGGAATCGATTCTTACAAGAGTCTCTGAGCTTATGATCAACCGCTCAACTAGAGTTGCTCACAGATGCATTAGATACTTCCCCTGACAAACTACAAGTGCAAAGTTCTGTTAACATTCGTTTTAGGATTTAGAAGCACGTATTATGCATGGTCGCCTGTAAATGCCTGAACCGTTTTTTCTTTTTACCTTGAAAACGGCGTGCTTTTAATAGATGATACTTCTAATATCGAAGCATCAAATCAGATTGAACCAAAAAAAATATTACAGCCTTACTACTGGAGAAATACTTGTACACCTGAAGATTGTAAAGGCCTGTGTTGAAACCGAATCCTCATTATGGGCATAGTCCTCAGAAGTTTTTCATAAGTTCTTTGTTCAATAGTACTCTTTGGGCAGGAATAATAGAAATATTTCTAGTTATTGGTGTCTTTGAGCCTCCTATGCAAAACTTAACTTGCTTTAGAAACTTATGAGTTGTATATGTTGGAATATTAGTTTTCTTTCCAGGAGGAATGGTAAATGCGTATCTCCAGTCTGCCAGTATATTTTGGGATCCAGAAATTCTTATTTTATATTTTAGAAAGACTGGTCTATATAAATGAGGTAACACCCCCAGCAGAATCGGGGTAGCACCCCATAATCTAACATTAATATTTATGCAGGGTCTGGGACCGCACCTCAGTGGCAGAGTGTTTGCCTGGCATGTGCAGAGTCCTAGATTCTATCCTGGGCTCTGAAAATAGATTGTACAGCAGTGGGTGTGAATATTCAATCTAAGTGGGAATTAGTAAAAACTATGAATAGCTTCAAGTCAGATTTTGCCATCAAATAAGTTTTGTGCCAAACTTGGGAAAATTATTTTCAAATGTTTCTGGATTGAGAACAGCAGATAAAGGTTTATGGAAGACAGAAGTTGTAAAAGCTAGTGTTAATTGAGATTTTGTTCTATACCAGGTAGAGATTTGTTAATTTATTTTATATAAATCACATAGAAAATCTGTGAGATGAATGCTATTCCTGTCTCCCTTTACCTTTGAAATTGGGAAAGTTGTACTTGGCCAGAGTCCAGCCAACTCGGGAAGAGCAGGCAATGTACTCTTCTAATTTTATGCTATATTGTTCATATGCAAAGGAAGACAAGAGAATTTGATATTTGTTTTCTACCCACTATTTTCCAAACATGATTTTAGAACTTGATCCAAGAGTCCCATTTAGTCTCCATATAATTTTATTGGTTCATTTTATATTGATGAAGAAACAAGTCCATTCAGGTAAACTGACTTTTAAGTGAAATGATTCAAACACTTGTCTAAGAATTTTCTCCTTTTTTTGCTTTCTATAGTCTAGCTAAACTGCAGAAACACCACTTCTCAGGAATATTCATACCGTAGTACTAATTTTCCCACAGCCCAACAGTGCCTATCACATATTTTCCAGAAAGTAACTAAATAAATGTAAATGGTATTACTGGGAATTTTAAGTGCTCAAAACTTTTTCATCACAATTTCTTGAATTATCCAGTGTAGAAAATGGAGTATAATTTTATAAATTTGCTAATAAAAAATTAGCACATATTCTAATTCAAATTTTGTTTTCAATACAATACTCACAGTCTTGCCCATGCTAAACAAATGAACACAAAAATTCTGATTTACCTTAGCTCCTTTTTTTAAGTACTGGGAATTGAACCCTGGAGTGTCCTGCCATTGAGCTATATCCCCAGCCCTTTTTTGATTTTGAGGGACAGGTGTTGCTTAGTTGCAGTGCTGGCCTTGAACTTGTGATCTTTTTACCTCAGCCTCTGGAGTGTCTGGGATTATAATCATGTGCCAACACACTTGGTTTAGCTTCTCTGAATAAATATTGTATGACACTTTATATAAATAATTATTTTTTAATTATCTGTGAGGTAGCTAGGTGTCAGAAGTGGCTCTGGAAATATATACCCTTAAGTCATTTAGGAATTCTGTGTTTTATAGATAAGAAAATGACCTCTTGTTTGAAATTTTGCTTTTGTTAAAAGGATTGATATCCAGGTCTCCTAGTATATTTCATACTATTTATCACTCCATCACAATTTGATTCTTTGAATTATTACTTTTCCGATGTTGCTAGGAATTCAGCTTTCTTAACTTCTGATAATTAAATTGTCATTCCCTCTAAAGGCCTTAGGTGTCAGTGAAATGTTTTTATTTTTCTAGTGTATGTTAAAGACATTTTGTACTCTGTTTGAAATTACTATTCTTGCTGCTCAGAAATTAAGTGTTTTTCAGGTAATGGGTAGATTGTGTCATAAAGTTGTAATGAAATTGTTAAAAGTAATAGCTTTAAATTAGACCAAAAAGGAAGAATGAAAACATTTATTGATTATAAGCGCTTTTTTTGACAAATTCAAGTTTACACTTGCCTCATTTTAATAATTATTGTAGTTCAACTCTTTTAGAATAGCTGTTTAGAAAATTGAGATGTTGGGGCTGGGGATGTGGCTCAAGCGGTAGCGCGCTCGCCTGGCATGCGTGCGGCCCNGGTTCGATCCTCAGCACCACATACCAACAAAGATGTTGTGTCCGCCAAGAACTAAAAAATAAATATTAAAAATTCTCTCTCTCTCTCTCCTCTCTCACTCTCTCTTAAAAAAAAAAAAAGAAAATTGAGATGTTTTTACATTCTGTAAATTTACTGATGTCCCAACTCTTTTTTTCAATCTATTTTTACATGAAAATATAGCCTAAAAAGCAAATTGGAATGCTTCCAATTAACATGAACAATGTTTATTTTAAGCATGGAGAGCAGGTCTATTTACTAAGGCAGTGAGGAAGAACAGGAAGTGACCTATTCCTAATTCCTTTGGTCAGGGCTTCATTATTTCAACACTTGATTTAAAAACTTTAAAGCCAGAGTTGTGTATTAGTTTGAGTTTGTTATATAATTTATATTTATGAAATTCTTTAACTAGTCAATTGAATATCATGTTTTTCAAAAACTAAGAGTGAAGGAAAAATTCTGAAAACCTGACCAACAAGACCATATGAAATTAAATGGGTCACTTTAGTAAGATTCTTTGCTCCAGAATTAATGTGAGTCTTTTGGGAGGAAGGTATACTGGTGATTGAACTCAGAGGCACTTAATCACTGATCTCTTTTTTGAATTTTATTTAGAGACAGGGTCTCATTGAATTTTGCTTAGCAACTTGCTTTTGCTGAAGGTGGCTTTGAACTCTCCATCCTCCTGCTTCAGCCTCCTGAGCCATAGGGATTAAAGGCATGAGCCACCACATCCAGCAATGTGAATCTTGATGTAGAACTATTTTCTGTATTTGAACAGTATGCCAGTCTTATATAGACTTCAAACATATCGTACATTGACAGTTTCATCTAACATTGATCCTTATGAGTATTATTGTGTAATGTGATTTTAGTGGAACACAGACCTTCATGTTTAAATGAATGGATAATTATGTTTGCAATACATTCAAGGTGTGGTTTTGATATTTTGAATAAAAAGCAAGGAGATTATTCCTCATGATAAATTATAATTAAAAATAAAACCCTTAAGAATGCAAGATGGCTCAATACTAATAAGTATTCATGTGCTTAAAATAGGAATAAATAAGTATAGTAACAGGCATAAATAAAATCTCACTGTAATTTTTTAAAATCTAAAACTAAAAATGAAACTCATACTTAATCATTTCCAGGAGAGTTGGGAACAAGATCACCGTGTTCCTGTCATCATTTGACATTTCATTGTTTAAATCCTAACTGAGGCAAAAGAGAAAAGAGCCATAAATATTGGAAAGAGAATATAAAATTATTATCTGGAAACCCCAAAGAATCAACTGAAAAATATTTAGGAATAAGATAATTCAGTGATATCACTGCTTATGAAAATAATATACTAAAATTTTAAAAGCCTTTCCCATTTATATAATTAACCAATTAGAAAATATAATGGAGGAGAGCCTATTTACAACCACAAAAAAGGGCTTGCAGAAATCTCTTTTGTAAGAAATATGTAAGAGATATGATCAAGAAAACGAACTAAACCAGGTTAGCTGGCACATGAATGTAGTCCCAGCTAATGGAGGCTGAGACAGGTGAGCACACTAGTTCAACATAGGAAGACCCTGTCTCAAAGAGAAAAGGAAAAATGGCATATTTTGAAAGAAAGACACATTTTGTTCTCAAATAAGGTTTGACATTTTAAATATCTCATATGTCCCTTTGATTAATCTGTAAATTTAATGCATTTCCAATGAGAACACCAACAATTTCTTTAATTTTTTACAAAATAACATGGAAAAAATAAACATGAGAATGTTCAGGAACACCTGGGAAAAACAGTAGGGTAGCTGACACTAAAATTTGTTTTAAAAATGCTAAGTACGGGGCTGGGGTTGTAGCTCAGTGGTGGAGTGTTCGCCTTGCACATGTGAGGCCCTGGGTTCAATCCTTTTGCACTGCATTAAAAATTAATTAATAGAGTCCACCAGATCTGCAGGGAAGTGATTGAGGATCTGTAGCCTGCTTGAGGCTCTGAGGTCAGATTGTATGTGGGTTTGAACCCTTGCTCTACTTGTCATTAGCTCTAAGACTTTAAAGAAAGTAACTTGCTAAGTTTCCTTTTGTCCAGCTGTAAACTGGGGATGACAATTGAATTTGCATTAGAGAAGTAGAGACCTTGAGCATTCAATGATAATCATTCCACAAATAATAGTTGTAGCAGCAATGAAGTCTTGAAGGTAGTTTAATTGCTTGATAAACCTAGGTTATTTGGTAATAATTTCTTGGAAGAATTTAAATTATTAAACAATTTAAACCATAAACATAATTTTCTTTTTAATCTTGGAGTGGAGAAGGCCTTCATACATACATCACAAAATCCAGAAGTCATACATAGGGAAAAAATTAAAATTTTTATACCAAAAAATATCATTTAAGGGATCTATAGTTGAAAAGATCTAAGTAGAAAAAAAAAGTCTCATAAATGACAGCTGATTTCTTAGTATCTTACTAAGCAGAGGGGAGAGGAGAATGATGGTACTACTAAGTAGTGAAATTCTCAAAGGCACAAAGAGAGCCTGCTATCTTATTCTATTCATACAAAGTTAAAGAACAAGCAAAAGTAACTCAGAAGTGATGATAGGGAACAGGTGATTGGGAAAAGAACACGAATAAATTTCCTGAAGTGATAGAAAACATTCTATATCTTATTTGGGTTGGTTACAGGGAATATACAATGGTTAGGTCTTGTTAACCTGAATACTGAAGATCTTTGTATTTTATTGAGTGTTAATTATATTTCAGTTCTAAAATGATGGGGCTAGAGTGTATAGCTCAGAGGTGGAATTCTTGCCTAGAAGCCCCGGATTCAATCCCTAGCACTGCAAAAAGGTTTTAAAAATTTAAAAACTGCTAAATGTGGTCCAAGATGGCAGTAAATTCACAGAAAAAGAAATGTAAATTAAGTATTAAAAAGTTATTCTTACAGGGCATTGTGGCACTCACCTATAATCCTAGCTGCCCCGCAGGCTGAGGCAGGAGGATTGCAAGTTCAGAGCTAGCCTCAGCAACTTAGCAAGACCCTGTCTCAAACACAATAAAAAGGGCTGGGGATGTGGCTTGATGGTTAAGTACCCCTGGGTTCAAGCTCTAGTACCAAAAAAAGTTATTCTACCTTCCACTTACGTAAATTAAAATGTGATGCCAATTTTTAATCTGTCATGATTTTAAATGATTTCTAGCTAGGTGTGGTGTTAATCCAAGGGATTCGGGAGGCTGAGGCAGGAGGATCACAAGTTCAGTGCCAGCCTCAGCAAAGTAGGGAGACCCTGTCAAAAAATAAAAAGGACTGGGAAAGTTCTAGTGGAACAACCCTGAGTTTAATCCCCAGTACTACACAAAATGAAATAAAATGACATAAAAATTTAATAATATCCAGAAAAAAAAGGGTGACAATATAAATTGATATGTGTTTCTCAAATAGTTAGCGGTAGACTCTATGAATTCCACTCATGGTACTTTTTCACACATAAGCAGAGTTAAGTATTCAGAGATGTTCACTACACCATTGTTACAACCTAAACTGCCACAGAAATCAGAACTTTAAAGTGTGGATCAGGCTGGGATTTGTGGTATGTGCTTGTTGTCCCAGCTACTTGGGAGGCAGACCTGGAGGGCTGCTTGGGTCTGAGAGTTGGAGAACAGCCTGGGCAACACAGGGAAACTACTTTGCTATATAGTCATTATTACATGGTGTGTAGCCATTAAAAGGGATGAAGTTGATAGAGCTATATTAACTTCTGTCAAAATTTTCCTATAAAGAAAAACACAAAATAAAATGATAATTCCCTTTAAGTAAAAATAATACATTTATAAAATTTCCATTGTTTATAAAAGAAATAATAAATACTGATTTTGAAATTTTCTTTCTTTCTTTAGGAAAATGTCTGATGAATTTTCGGTAAGTTGATATTTATCCTTGATGAGTTATTTTTGGTTCTTAAGGAAAACATGGTCCTGTCTAAAAAGATGTTTTTTGTGATGCTTGGATTTTTTGGCATGTGATTTTAATAGGTCATTTACCTTTATTTACATAGATAACTGCATGTTTCAAAATGTATCCAGAAGTGTTTATGAATCTCTAAATGAAGTTTTTTGTGTTGCTTCTCTTGCTCCCTTTCACACTTTCTAGTAGTGATAATCCCAACATTTACTGAAACTTATTTTATAGCAGGCGCTATGTTTATTCTATTACATATAGTATCTTAAGTTAACTGTACCTCAAGTTAACAGTTGTTTTTGAAAATGAGAAATTTATGGGAGTTCATAACCCACTTGAATCAAATGTATGAAATATGATATGTCAAGAGCTTTGTAATGTTTTGAACAACTAATAATTAAAACAAGTAAAAAAATGAGAAATCTCATCAGTTGTATTTAGAGAAGTTGAGCTTCTGAAAAAAATTGCACTGATAATCAAGGTAACACCTCAAGTTTTATATTAAATACATATTAGCTTTTGAAGATGCTATTGAGGTTTGTAATCCCTCACTCTGATGGTTTACTAATCTATTTGAGTTTATAATCATGTTGACTTTTCCTGGATAAGACAAATAAGACATGTCTGTTTTGTATTCCAGTTGGCAGATGCACTACCTGAACACTCCCCTGCCAAAACCCCTGCTGTGAGCAATACCAAACCTGGTCAACCTCCTCAAGGCTGGCCAGGTTCCAACCCTTGGAATAACCCAAGTGCTCCACCTTCTGTGCCATCTGGACTCCCACCAAGTGCAACACCCTCCACTGTGCCTTTTGGACCAGCACCAACAGGAATGTATCCCTCTGTGCCTCCCACCGGACCACCTCCAGGACCCCCAGCACCCTTTCCTCCTTCTGGACCATCATGTCCCCCACCTGGTGGTCCTTATCCAGCCCCATCTGTGCCAGGCCCTGGCCCCACAGGGCCCTATCCTACACCAAATATGCCATTTCCAGAGCTACCTAGACCATATGGTGCACCCACAGATCCATCTGCAGCTGGTCCTTTAGGTCCATGGGGATCCATGTCTTCTGGACCTTGGGCACCAGGAATGGGAGGGCAGTATCCTACTCCTAATATGCCATATCCATCTCCAGGGCCATATCCCACTCCTCCTCCTCCCCAGGCACCAGGGGCAGCACCACCTGTTCCATGGGGCACTGTGCCACCAGGAGCCTGGGGACCACCAGCACCATATCCTGCCCCTGCAGGATCATATCCCACACCAGGACTCTATCCTACTCCCAATAATCCTTTTCAAGTGCCTTCAGGACCTTCTGGTGCTCCGCCAATGCCTGGTGGCCCCCATGTGAGTGTTCAATTTGTTACTTCACATGCACTAATAGTTACATAAGCACAACTGAAAGATTGCTTCTTCCCAGTTCTGGATGGAAGATTATAGAGTCTTTGAAATCTTTTTTAAGGTTTGCAAATACATAAAATGAGTAAATTTGAAAATTTAGATACAGCATTTAAAAAGATAAGAGCAAAAGTATTCCGGGTACTAATAATAGAAAAAATTTCCCAAAGATCTCTAAAGGTTTTAAAACAGTGAATAATGTTCTCAACAGCATCCTTTGGTAAACTCTTGAGATGCATTTAATTGGACTGTTTTGTTGTGGGTTTTTTAATGTCTCTCAATATTATTTTTATAGCATCACACTAAAGCATAGTTTAATAAAAGCAGTTTCTTCCTATCTGACCTGATACGGAGGGAGAGTTTTTGAGAACTTAAGACAATGAGTATGTTGCTCATCTTTCAGGCAACTCCCCCTAGTGCTTCTCAGCCAAAGTTTTGTTCAATTCTTAGTAGCATTGAGCTTGAGATTATACTGCTATTCCTGATTGTGAGTTAAATGTAATTTTTCTTGCTTTACTTTCAAGTCAGACTAGAATAGGGCTGATATTTTAGTTGAGAAGTCTATTAGGTATATGACTGGGAAAAAAAAAAAGTACGAAATATCTCCCACAAGATAAGCCAAGTGAGTATCCAGAGTCAAGATTCTCCTTACAGGAAGGGAAAAGAAAAAAGATTTGTTAATCCACAAGATAAACTAACCAGAACTCCAGCTAATAAATGCCCATCTCGGCTGTATCTGCTATATATATATTCTCTAAAAATCTTTTTTTTTTTTTTGCTAGCTGTATGCCAGAGTAAATGAGTGGACTTGCTGTTTGGGTTTATTAAACAATAAATTTATTTTAAGCCACAGCAAGGAGTTAAAGACTCCATTTATAAAATCTAGAAGTTGACTTTTTCTTTTTTCTATTGCAGTCTTACCATTAAGTTAACAGTGGATGAAGAGATGGCGCTTTGCTTTTTGAAGTACATATATATGCAAATGAATGCATATATAAAAATTGCTGGTTTCACTATTCTTAGAGGGCATTCATGAAAGAACAACTCTTGCACCTCTCAGAAGATATCTGCCTCTTGGATGTGTAGTACAAAACATAGAAGATAAAAACATAAAAGTAAATCATTCAGGTGTGATTTTATTTGGTTTTCATGGGGGGAAAATGATTAAATTGAATAGCTCTTTGATACAATTTGTTTGAATTATGAAACTACACATTTAAAAATCTAAGATGATATGGATTATTGTTAAAATATTTTGCCAATGAAGTTGCAGATTTTAAGTATTTTTCTATAATCACTCCCCTCCCCCAAATAAACTTCAAAAAGAATCACATTATAATTTAAACAAATGATGCCTCTGAACATTTTGAGCTGCTCTCCTATGTGATAAATAAACCTGGTCCTCTTATGGTTTTATTTTGGATATACCTTTTTTTAAACTAATTACTATCAGATGTTCATTATCCAGCCAGTGTTCATTTTTATTCTCAGATTTTTAGTAAAAAAACTTAGATTTGTTTTATTTTTGCCATATGAATTATATAGCTCAGCTCTAAAATTTGCCATTTATGAAAAATTAGTCTTATTTTGCAGTGCCAGGAACAGAACCTAGGGCCTCACACATGCTAGATTGCCACTAAGCTTCACCCATAGCCCTTTTTTCTTTTTAATCCATTCAGAGATGTATAAATCATATTCTTGGAAAACGGATATCTGTTTGTATTACTTTAGAATGGATTATAAGATATGCATATTGCTTTGGGAAGAGCTCAAGGAAAAAAATGTTTTGTTTTAAACCTCAAACTAGATAAACCCTAGAAATTGCTTCATTTCCACGAAACCAGAGGTTTATTTTCTGCCCAGACCATTCCCTGGAGTCACCCTCCACCCCCCAGTTCTTTAGAGGGAACACATCTTTTGATGACTCCCTTATATAGAAGACTAGCACACAATGTGGGGTTTGTTATCAGAACATACAGAATATATAGCAGTTATGTTTGGAGAACTTTATAAGTCGTACAGACATGACTGTTCTCTTTGTACAAGTGTGAATCAAAAATGTTTCTGTCTTTCAGAGTCTGGTTAAGCTATGTCATTGTCTCCTGCATAGTTTCCTGAATCTGTAAAGTATTTATGGCTGTTAAGTTCTGTATTTGTTGACAGGCAGATAAGTGGAATTGAGTACCATCTTTGAAAACATTATCTTCTACAGTGAAAATAATAAATTGTAGCTCTTTGCACCTGAGTTTAAAGCAGTGTGACTATGTTGTTAAATATTGAGTATTGTTTATAACTACCAAAACAGCTTTGGTTGCTTTTTGGCACCTTGCCTTTAAATCAGTCTTAGATTTGGGGTAGATCTGATCTTATTTATCAATAATGATTTGAAAATTTGAATGTATCCATTGGGTTACTAAAATGTGTTGTGGATTTCTCAGATAATTATAGAAAACATTTATGCTGGAGCTGTTTTTTCTTTGAAATAAAATATTCAGTAGTTTATTTCTCCAGTAATTAAAATGTCAAGAATGCCTAGTGCTACCAGTTTAATGATTTGATAGCTACCTCCTTTTAAGAAAAGAATATGGTCACCTTTGAGAGGAACATCAGCATTTAAACGTCCCTTATTTTAAGCAGGTGATAGATTCAAGCTTTCAGAATTGGCAAAGGTAGAAACTAATTTATTTATCTTCAGACTGGGAAAGGTTCTTACRTAGTGGCAAAAGTATTCTTTTGTTGTTGTTTCAGTTCTTTTTAAGAACAGATAGTAACTATATCTACCGTACTCAAAGGACTCTAGTCAAAGTAGTCTCCAGTCTGCAAAACAGGTAACTTTATGTATCATAGTTTAAACTTATCAGTCAGTATTAAGCTATCATTTAACTGGAAGGATAAGATAGGAAAATGAGAAAGCAAAGATACCTCTATTTATAGTTAGTGACTGTTCTAAATTGAGATAACTCTAGCTTTAGATGAAATGTTTAACGTAACACCACTAAAAGAGGTAGCAAGTGTGGAGATCTATAATTGTGGAGTCCATTTATTATGGGAAAAAATATTTTACTAAACAATTTGAAGGGCTATAAGGCCAAGATTTGAAATTATTACTCCTAAAACTATTTGCCAGTGACCCAGACTGCCATTTTAACGTTTTTTTCCCCAAGAACCTTACGACTGGTACTTGTATCTTTGTGTAGAGCTCATTTCTCTAATTGTCTAGGGTTTGCAGTGGGGATGTCTCAGTTCTGGCGAGTACTCTGGGCCAAAAGATATTAGGTTTAGGGTGGAAATAAGAAAAGCAAAAGTTTCAGTAAACAGATGAGGAAAAGCATATGGGAAGGGTTTTACTCTTTGTAGGGGAATAATGCTTTTCAAACAAGTTATGCCAAATGTGAAGGCACGTAACTGTAACCCCAGTGACTCAGGAGGCTGGGGCAGGAGCATCACAAGTTTGAAGCCAGCCTCAGCAACTTAAACCCTATCTCAAAAAGGACTGGGGATGTAGCTCAATGGTCAAGGACCCTGGGTTCAATCCTCAGTACCAAAAATAAATAAAACAAGTTAGGCTAGGCTGAGGTTGGTTTATGGAAGGACATTGCCAAGCATATTTGGTCTTAAGGGATACACACTATCAAATATGCTTACATTTAGGCTTCAAACAAGAATTTCTAAATACATTTGATAAAAATAATTACAATATGTTCAGAAACAATGGTGTTCTGGAGTTGGAATCTTTTTCAAGTTTTAAAATGCCAAACCCACAAATAATGAAAAATGGAAACCTAGACTGTAGATCCTCATTCACAGAGTTGTTAAAAATTCAGTGCTCCTTAAAGGAGGACTTCATCCAGGCATGATGTCACATTCCTGTAGTAGGAGAATCACAAGTTCAAAGCCAACCTAAGCAATTTAGTTAGATCCTGACTCAAAACATAAAAGGGGCAGGGGATATGGCTCAGTGGTTAAGTGCCCCTGGATTCAGTCCCCAGTACCTAAATAATAAATAAAGGACGACTTACAAATACTTGGACTTGTCCAGGTCTTACCTGCCTCCTTTTCATGCTTTTGAAGTTGCTATTTACAGCTCTGATTTATTGTGTAAAGTAATATATTGGTTATTCAGGAATAAACGTTTTTTAATTAACTGAGGACCATCTTTCTTATTTCTCCATTTTGCTATTGTTTGTTTTCAGTAGAGAATAATAGTTCAGAAAAGAAAAGGGCCTGAGTCACAACTACAATGAAATATTTTCTAGAAATCATTTGCCCATGATACATATTACCTCAAAAATAATTAATTAGGGCTGCCTTTTGACCTCAAATATACAGTTTTTAAACTTGGTATAGGTGAAAATAGCTCTACTTAAAGTTTCCATTAAAAGACTGGTTTGCATATTAGTCCTTGCCTGCACTTCTAAACAGTACCACTGTCTTCCTCACCCCGAGTGAGGTAGAACCAGCTTCATGAAATGCCAGGTTATAAATTCCAGAAGTTAAGCACAGACTTTCAAGTATTACCATTAATTTGAAAAGCATAAGGCTAAACTCAGAAGAATCATTAATAAAATGCTTAGAAAATGATGGGCATCTTTCAAAGGAAGACTATATAATCTTAGTAAAGCAATATTATCAAAAGACACTGTTCTTTCTATTTTCAGAATTCTGTCAAGGGAAACACTGCCAATAAAATAATCAGTATTAAAATGCCATGCAGACTTCTGGCTATAGAAAACATGTGAGGTCTGTGTTCATTCAATAATCACATATTGTGATCAGGTGCTATGCCAGAGGTCGGAGAAAGCAAATCCCTATCCTTGAGGGGCTCCTAGTCTAGGGATGACTTTACATAATTCATTAGGACACCTATTATTAGTTACCCATTATAAGAGTATTTTAGAAGAGCTGCTAGTAGAAATTACAAACCAGTTTTGGAGCATTTTAAAGGGCGGTGTGTGATGCCCTTTTTTCTTTTTTTTTTTTTTAAAGTAAGAAAATATGTTTCAAGAAATTAGTGTTGATCATTGCAGCTATTCAAGTGTACAAAGTAATAGGATGTTTTTCCCTCTCACACTACTCCTGGTTAAAAGTACTTTGCCCATCATTGATAAGCAGGTACAGATTTGTTGCCATTAAGCAAACATGATTTATGTGTGCTCTACAAAGGTTTTTTGTAACTTCTTAAAATTGTGATTTTTCTTCATTGACTTAATGACAAACTTAATGTATGTAATTGTCTATGCATTTTAAGTTAAACTGCCTAAAATGTGATTTAAGACATATACATTTGTTTGTATTATGAACTGTAAGCAATCTGAGATGTTAGGTTTTATCACTGCTGCTGTATCTGTAAACAAAGAAATGTTGCTTTAAGAAGTAATTATAATTAGGAATAGGCTATGGATGTGATACTTGATATTTTTAAAGATAAACTTGTTTGCTTTTGTGTATTATACCTGAAAGCTTTTTTTAAAAAATGTATTTTCATGGTTTTGCAGTTTTCCCATGTATTTATTCTCCAGGCCCAATTCTGGGCTTCCCTGAAAAGTCTTGAGTCTAACTGCATATTTATTGTCAAAGAAAACAAGGCTTTTAGATGCCTGTGTGTGTGACCTGCGTTCACTTAGGAATTTAGATTGTCTGTTTTGGAAAGAGCCCTTCCTCCAAAAACCCTTTTTAGAAACAGTGTCCACATAACAGTACCTTTCCTCCCTTCGAGGCTTGCTGTTCTTTGTAACCAGATTATCTCTGCAAAGTCATGTGACCTTCCCACTCTGCCCCAGTTGCCACTACCCTGCTTGCTGTTAAAAACAAGAGCTATTATGGCTACAACTTCTGCACGTTTAGTAAAGGTCATATTAAGCCTGGAATAATTGGCCATTTCCCACAAGAGTTTCTTGGAACTGCAGTGTGAGGATTAACAAATAATTTGTAGTCCATTCTACTATTAGCAGAGATTTCTTTTCTTTTTACCTTGTATCTGAACAAAAAGGCTATCCTGTATGACCTGACCCAGGCAGGTCCATTTTTACTACCATATAATACTCCTACTATCAGGCCTCTTGCAACATGTCTAAATTAGAATTGAATCCCATTAGCTACCTATTTCAAAAAAGACATGCAATAGAATTCTAGTGCCAGAATAGAATTAGGGCTGTCCCATGGAGTTTATTCCTGTGGCATTTAAACCTTTTCCCTCATTTGGACAAATTGAGTAATCTCTTTTCACACTTGGAGAGCTCTGGGGTTCCAGAACCAAGGAGAATACCAAATGAGTAAAGCTTAGT